ATCAAAATGCAATCTTGATTTCTCTTCTCTTCATTCAAAGTCACATTTCACAAATGACGACAAAGGTCTTCTCCACTTTCTGCATCTTACTAGACTTCCAAACTTTCATTTTGGAATAACTATCGCACACCATTTAGAGAGGTTTATAATATATCTTTTGAATAGGGGTCCTCGCCTTATTTTTACTTCAAAAAGATTCCTAGAAAATTTAATAATTCTACAGTAAATGATATCAAACCAATATTGCGGCTCAAGTAGGAAAGTCTAGGGTATATCTCATGATGTTGGGACGATGACAACGTCTGATTCGTGTATTGTAGAATCATGCTAGTCCAAAATTATGGAAAGATCCATGAATGTTAGTGATCATGCTGCCTGCAGGAGATCATGTTTGTCTACAAACACTAGAAGATTTTATGAATTTAAGTAGCTAGGTCCTGGTACAACGGAGACCCCTTAATGCACCTATTAGAAAAACGATAATATTGGAGTTAATGAGGCTAGGAGATTTAGCGGTAGGTTAGAGGTAATTAAAAAGGAAATGATTACAACTAACTTAACGGAGAAGATGACACATAACAGAATGGAATGAAAAAATAAGATTCATGTAGCGATCCTAAATATTTGGGATAAACGCTTGGTTGTTATTATAGTTGTTGTTGTTGTTGTTAGGTCCTGGTACAATTTGCTGAATAAAATTAGAAGTTTTTTTTTGTAGTGAAGAGATATATGATACATCCTACAGACCTCCCTTATTGAACCGGTATTATTGAAATAACTGATTATATATATAAACTTAACACCACCCTGATGGTTATAAGCTTAACGACGGGATAAAATATCTCCATATAATCCACTCCTTCTCGCTGTTAGAATCTTTTCATAACTAATCTGTTATTGTATCTTTTGCTGTCATCACTCTCCTGCTTGACTTGGTAGGCCCACTTGTTATGTAAAGCATTCTTCTGTGTAGGTAGTTGGGCTAACTATCATGTCTCGTTCGAGTGTAGAGAATCAATCTCTTCTTGCATTGAATGCTTCAACTGTTGAGATTCACTAACTTGAATAGCCTCCTCTTAGCACTTTGGTTCTCCGCTATCTGTTAAAAGCAAATAATCAAGTGATGAAAGATATATGAGATTTTGTTTGGGTACCCTGGATAAACTCTAAAGCTCCATATCTCGTGTAGTCATCTCTGCACTTGGAGTCGTCTTTATTTTTCGGTCAGAATTGACATTGTCTAGGACCACCAACAATGTATGTGCCTAAGGGCAGGACTTTTCTTGTGTCGCCCATAACATTCAACGGTCCTTGTAGATTCCAGAAAGTTTTATTTCAGGTAACACAAGAAACAAATACCTATATATTTCATAAGAGGGTAAATCTTAATAAAAAAGGGTAAATTTTAATAAAAAGGGTAAATTTTAGAGCAGCCCCAAAAATTCGGTAAATTTTATACAAGAACTTCTAGACTTTATAAATAAGAGAAAATGGGGTAATGGACAGAGTAATACGACATGATTGACGTGTATTTTCCTCCCATATAAATGCTCTTCATTCAAATATTCATCATAAACTTTGCTTAGACATATTTCAAACTTATTACTCTACCCGTCAACATTTGTGAGATTTCCAGTAGTTCAGGGGTTAGTATGGTCATGAAACTTCAGGAGGGGTTTTAGTGAAATGTTTCAAAATGATTAACGGAAATTTCTCAAATTTAAAGTGGGCCTTTAGTTTCTTGTTACCATATTTTTCAATTATGATCACTTACTCAATGTTTTCGTCTCTCATTTTTCTTATTAGATGGAAGGCACACTGATAGCACCAAACGATCCCAGAAGGTGGGAAGGAATAGCATCTCGCTGGTTGCAGTTTCAGCATGTTGGCACACTGAATGTCTTTGGTGGGGGTATAATAAATGGTCGAGGGCAAAATTGGTGGAAACAATCATGCAGAGATAACCCAAAACCGGTATGATACACTAATTTGTGAATCGAATGTTTCGAATGTCTTAGTTTCATCTGAATACGTTGTGTCCAAATTCATAAGATAGTTTATAACATATTTTTTGGATCTAATCATAACTTAAAGCAAACCTTTTCTATTACTTATTTTGGTTTTATTTGTCAAACCCATGTCCATGGATCGGTATTTGGATTTAGTAATGCAAAACTGATAATTAATTTAATTCTTCTAACCAAAATTCCTTTGACTTTATTGTTCGAATTAGTATATAAAAATATTAATAGTAACCAGTCATGTCAAAGAATCAGCTATTATGTAAGTAAAATAGTAATTTGATTTTGTATTACACCTTAGTGTGAACTAAAGAATGATA